AGAACTCTTTTTTTTTTTTTTTTGGTACCAGGGATCAAACCTGGGACTATGCGCTTGACGAAGCAGGCAGCAGAACCACTGAGGTAAATCCTTGGCCCAAGAACTCTTTTTTAACAAATGACTAATACATACATTTGGGAAATTACTGGGAATACAGGCAAGTTTAATTGTTTAGCTTTAATAAGATTCTTTGTCTTCTCTCCACAGAGGTTTTGAAATTTATATCAAAGATTGCATCAAGCTAAGAATATTCCCATTTTCAACTCTGGCCCCCTGGTATGGAATACTGATTCCCCCAAACTGTGACACATCAAACCTGGCAAAACGACTTCATCCAAAGATCAGAAAGAAACCACAGTACCGTCATATTCTCCGGTTATCTGTAAAGGGCCTGACAAACTGTCCTCATAGATGCAAGATTTTCATACGGAGTCGAGTTGCTAATCTTGTAAACTAAGATTTAATGAGTATCTGTACACAACAACTTGGAAGACAAATAATGGAGTAGGAGAAAAGGGCTGGGGATAAGGCAGAAAGTCTATAAATTTATTGGTTTTTATCAAACCTGTGTGGCTGGCATTTTAAAAGAAGTTTTCCCCAAACCTTGAGAAAAAGTACTCAGAAAAACCTTTCTGTGAAATGCTAGCTTTTCAGAAAGAAGAGCAGAGAGAAGTCAAAAGATAGGCATATAATACCTTCTGAGGACATAGTGCATTCTGAGGAACTATTTTGTTTTTTTTGAAACAAGGTCTCACTATATAATTCAGGCTGGACTTGAACTCACTCTGTGTAGCCCAGGCGAGCCTCTAACTCATGGTGATTGTCCCGCCTCAGCCTCCCAAATGCTGGGATTATAGGCATGTGTTACCACGCCCGGCAAACGAACTACTTTGTGTAAAAACAAGATCTAGAACACGTACTCGCTCTTTTTTTCCCCAGGAGCATCAGCTCCTGGAGAAAACTCCAAATATTTAGCTCATTGTTTTTAATCTAAAATCCCAACTCAGATGTCAGAAATGTATAGTAAGTATGACAAACACTGCAACTATCACTGGTATAACCCTAATAAAGAATATTTAACCTATTTTTTCGAATCATAAGAAAATTGACTCTGAAGAATTATTATAGACAGCTGCAAATATTATTTTTCCTTTTTAAAATTAAAATGCATTCGTCAGAGGGAATTGGAACATTATCATATTGCATCTCGGTCCTTTTTACTTCCCTTCCCTTTTGCTTCCTCTTTCATCTCCCCCATGTAAAAAGACTTCCTTATCTCTGAGACAGATCATTTTAGTCTGTTCTTTCCAGCATTTCAAAAGTTCAATTACATGCATATTGTACATTTAGTTTTACAATCTCTAAAAATTTAAATGCAAACAATAATTTAAACCTTTATGCTTTTGATCTTTTAATAGGAACTACCCTAAGCAAATCAACTCTGCCAAAATCCTTACCCACATTTTAATTAAGCTGCTAAAAGTTCATGATTATTAGTTTGAAAAAAGACAACTTGAAACAAGTTATAAGATAAAGTTTTGAAAATATGTAAAAGGCAGTAAAGAACAATAAAAAGAGCTAAAAGTTCATGATTTAAAAAATTAAGTCTTAAGCCAGTCATCACACACTTGTAGTCCCAGCATCTAAAAGGATCAGGCAGGAATGAAATAGTTCGAGGCCAAACTGGACTACACAGTGAGTTCAAGGACAGCCTGAACTGCACACAGTGAAATGCTGTCACCCCTAGTCAAACACACAAAGTCTTGACTAGTCTAGGGAAGGTACACATTAAGATAAACCCGTTAAACTATCAGATTTCCTGATAAAGGTCAAATATCACAACACAGATTTTATGAGCTACTCTTTGTGGCAAAAAGTTTGCATAAAACTAATGAGATTAAATTAGGGTTTCAAAAAATAGATTAGAGGACTGGGGATGTAATTTTAGGGACAGAGTGCTTGCCTAACATGTATGAGGGTCCTGGGTTTGATTGGGAGAGGCAAGGGAGCTTAATCATGTTAATGTTAAAAAAATGGATAATAGCAATGTAAAGACTAGAAGGAAACGAAAAGTTTAATGCTAATACTCTACTTACATATTTGAATAATGGATACCATTTTGTTCTTCACTATCTATGGTAATCTTAAAGTATGAGAAAAAAGTGAAGCTTTTAAAGTCAATTTTCACTTACTGCTTCTCATACTGTTTTATGTTATAAAGTTGAAGTATTTTGCTGCAGATTTTAGGTCAGACGCTGTTAAACACAATCAGACCTTTTTGTTGTGGTGGTGGTGATGTGGATAGAACCCATGGCCTCATGAATGCTAGGGAGTGGGCTCTTCTACCAATAAGCACAACCTTCAGCCCTTGACTATGTTAATTTTACTAAGAATGTTATATTTTTGCATATGATTTTGATCTCCCAAGGGCCTAGAAAACTCATGGAGCTCTCAAGATAGTTCAGGTTGAGCATTCCTTATTTAAAAATCTAAAATCTGAAAACTTTATCCAATAAGAACATTTTGGATTTTGGAACATTTCAGATTTCAGGAACTTTTCAATCAATATATGCAAATATTCAAATTCCAAGAACTCTGAAATTAGAAAACTCTGCTGGTCTCAAGCATTTTGGCTAAGAGGTAACTGTATTGGATTTGTACTATAGGGGAAAAAAAGCCAGCTTTGCAGATTTGGTGGCATACAACTTTAATTCCAATTACTGGGGAGAGGTTGAGGGACAGTTTTAAGTCTGAAGTCAGCCTGGAGTTAAAGTGAGACTTTAACTCAAAAAATAAAATAAAAAAGGTTGGAGATATAGCTCAGTGGTAGAATGCACATATAACGTGAAAGGTCCAGGATTTTACACGAGTTCTAAATATATATATTTACCATTTCACATATTAAAACATGACACAAAGGCTGGAGATTTAGCTCAACAGCACTGTGCATGCCTCAAAAGCATCAAGGTCTTGAGTTCGATCCCTGGTACCAAAAAAAAAAGGCACATGACAAATCATGACAAATAACCTTTTAGTCCCAAGGTATTCTATTAGCTATATAATATAAACCTGAAAGCAACTTCTAATAAAGATACCTTTAATAAGATACCTGATAAACTTAATTTTGCCTTTTTTTCTAGATCACTTCTTCACTAATCAAGTAAGTTGTAAAGGTTTAAAACTTTTTTCAGTTTTTTCTGGTGCTAAAAGCAAACAGACCTTTTCTTGCTTTATATTAGATGTTTGGTTAGAGAAAATTGTACAGGTGGTCTCTGACTTTACAACTCTTTGCCTCTATTGATTTTTCAAATTTACAACGGTGTAAAAACTCTTGCTTTCATTAGAAATTGTAACTCTGATGTTTCCTGGGCTAGTGATATATAGTACAATGCTCTTTGCAGAAGCTGTGTAGCACCAACAAACCTTAGTCACCTGACAACAAAGGCAGAAAGCAGCAAGGACATTTTAGAGTGCACTGTGCTCTGCCATGATACTTAGTAGGTTAAGTGTGCTAGATGCATTTTTTTACTTACAATTATTTTTCTTTCGGGGAGGGGGAGGTGCTGGGGATTGAGCAGAGAGCTCTGTGCATGCCAGGCAAGATCACTACCACTGAGCTACAACTGAAGCCCCAATATTTTCAATTTTTGATGGTATTAAGTCCTGAAAAACCCCTGATATCTACATAAATCTTCTCAAAAGCTAAGAAAGGCTTTTATGAACATAACTTCGGAATGTTTAAGAACCTGAGAGCTCTTTTTATCAGTATATATTTGGAATACATCACAAACACATTCATGTGGTAAATTAATACATACACATATCGCATCTTGATCCTTTTTAGTCTTTGAAATTCAAGCATAATGGAAGATATAGAATTCTCTCCCTGTTACCATGGGAGTTTCATCTAGGTACTGGCTCTAGTAACTACTTGCTTCTTATATGAGAAGCTTTATTTTTCATTTGGATAAAAACAACTAACTAGCAGATGGTCACCAAAATTACCAGGAGAATTTAGGACAAATCAAGCTGGAAAAATGCTAATAGGGGAAGACAGGTTATTAGAACACACATACGAGGGGCTGAGGCAGGAGGAACGTAAATTCGAGCCCAGTCTGGCTTAGTGAGACCTTATCTCAAAATTTTAAAAGGGCTAGGGATGTAGCTGGGTGAGAAGGCACTGGGTTCAATCTCTAATACTGCAGAAAGCAAACACATACAAACAAAACAAATTACATATATAATCAATTATCATCTGCCTGGCTAAGTGAAATTTCCTTCATTCTGCAATCTCAGACTGTTTACTGCATTTTTGTTAGTAATTTTCAGCAATAAATCTGTTTTCTTGCTGTTTTATACTTGTGAAGATGACTTTCTGGGTTGGCAGATGATTTTCACTTTTTCCACTTTATGTTGGTAATGAGAAGGGAAGGCTTGATAGGGCACTAACCCAGTAGACTGTCTGCAGAGCTTGTGACTCACAGCCAGGCTAGACTGCTTAAAGTATAAAAAGTCTCCCTTATGGAGCTCCATTCTCTTGGAATACAACATGAACTTCCAAGGTGTAACACTTAAAATCAGGGTGTCCTGAGTATAGGGCTATAGACTGAGCCACATAAAACTAAGGCTTGAAGACTTATCAAGTACAGATACCTCACTATTGGTGAGGGAACGGCCTAGTGCATTGTCACAGAGTTGTACAGAAACAGAGTAGAATGTTCCAGAATGGAATCTTCTGAGAGTTCCTTGCCAAACACCTGGTTTTCATCCCTTCTTATTCATTTCTGACTTATTCTTTCCTTCACTCAGCTTTCTAATCATACAGGTTGGCACTGAATCAATTTGACTATATCACATTCAAGAGTTCTGATCCCCTATGTAGTTTCCATAGGCTATGGATCCTATTCTGTCTCCATCCCTTACTTTTTTTTTTCCTTTCAGAAATCCTCTCGGGAAATTAGAAAACTGTCATGATTTACCTAGCAAACTGATGCAACACAAAGAAGAAACCCAGGTGACAGAAGAGTAAGTTTCACAGTGAAGATGTAAATGAACTGGCCAAAGATCATAATAGTAATACATACATATATAATGGTGATGTGTTAGAATTGTGGGTTACTGGGAGATGTCAACCAAAATAAGTAACAGAGTAAACTTGTTTGTCCAGCATTCAGGGGTTGCTGTTTGAAATGTATATTGGCTTGATAATCATTGTATGTTAAAAACAGACTTTCTGTTTTATGATAAAAAGCCTGAATAATGTGAACTAGTCTCCTTAGGACCTAGAATTGGAAGTAAAAAATTTAAGTATAAAAAAAAACCAGATTCAAATTCTATCAAAAATAGACAACACAATTTAAATGTTTCTACTTTGGGCTTTTTTTCTTGGGTACCAGGGATCAAACTTGGGACCTTGCACTTGTGAAGCAGGTGGCAGAACCACTGAGCTAAATCCCTGTCCCTCTACGTTTTTTTTTTTTTTTTTTTGGTACCGGGGATTGAACTCGGGTCCTTGCACTTGCAAGGTAGGCCACCGAACCGCTGAGCTAAATCCACGGCCCTCTGGCCCTCTACTTTGGGCTTTAACATTAAAACATCATCAAAGTAAAAGTCAAATTAAGTTTATTTGGTTTCAATGATTCTTCTCCTACTCTCCATTTATTTCCTATCCTATATTTATCATTTTCATTTTTGTACTTTCTTTGGGTTTAACTGGCTCTTCTTAATACTTTGTGTACCAGCTGAAGTCAACAATATAAGAACTGTTTTCTAATATAGGCAGTTCGTGGTATGAATTTCCATCTAAATACTGCTTTAGTACTATGGCAGGAAGAATAGGAGACCACCAAAAATGTCCGTGCCTTAATTCATGGACTGTGAATATGTAACATTGCATGGCCAAAGGGACTTTGGTGATGTGATAAAATTAAAGATTTGAGTTGGGGAGACTATTATCCTAGATCAGTGACGGTGACCTTTTTAGAGCTTTCAATGATACACCCTGCTGTGGTACATGTGCCATAGGTTTGCCAATGTAATCAAAAGGGTCCTTTTAACTGAGAAAGAGGAATCAGGAAAATCATAACAATCTGCAGATGTTATGTCGCTGGCTTAGAAGGTGGAGGAAGGGGCTCTACTCCAGCCAAGGAATGCAAGCTTCCTCTAAAGGACAGAGGAGATAGGAGCAGATTCTCCCATAGGAGAAACACAGAGGAAACCTCCAGAGGAAACCCACACCTGATAATACCTCCATTGCAGCCCAATGAAACCTTTTTTGACTCTAGATTCCAAAAGGTTATGATGATAAATTTGTGTTGCTTCAAGCCACTAAATTTATGGTGATTTATGACAACGGCAATGGTAAATGAATGCAAGATACACCCCACAAAGTTTGTTATTTTGGGTTTTCATTCTCATTCAGTTCAAAGTACTTTATAATTGCTGTTATTCTTTGACTTTTGAGTTATTTAGAAATATTTAGTTTCAAAATATTTGGAGAATTTTCAAGAGATATTTTTCTTACTGATTTTCAATTTAATTGCATAGTGGACAAAGAACATGTTTTGACCTAGATTTTTAAAACTTATTAAGGCTTGTTTTATTAACCACAGTATGGTCTATTTTGGTAAATTTGAGATGTGCCTTGAAAAGAATGTCTACCTCGCTGCTTCAAAGTTAAATGTCAAAGAGGTGACCCTGGGTGATTACACTGTTCCATATCCTGGCTAGTTTTCTGTCTACTGGTTCTGCTAACTCAGTGTTTTCCACATGTCATTTCCTTGTTTTTGAAGTAATAGTACTTAATGATGACTTAAGTGATTTTCTCTGATAATTCTACCATGTTCATTGTGACTTATTTTCTCTTCATTATGAATTTTATATATATATTGGTACCAGGAATCAAACTCCAGAACTTTTGCTTGTGAGGCAGGCAGCAGAACCACTTCGCTAAATCCTTGGCCCTGAGTTCTTAAAAAGACACACTAGTGAATTCTATACTGTATATGAGGAAGAAAAAATATTTCTAACTTAAGGTCAACATTACTCAGATTCCCAAATATGATAATTTCCGAATACAACAGGCCAATGAACAAGTTTTTAGCAAGTAAATTATACTATGACAAAGTTTCTCTTTTCTTTTCTTTCTTCCTTTTTTTTTTTTTTGGTGCGGGGTAGTACTGGGATTGAACTCAGGGCCGCATGCATGCTAGGTAAGAAGCACGCTAACACTGAGCTAAAATTTTTATTTGAAAATTTTTAATTTTGAGATAAAGTCTTCCTAAATTGCCCGGGTTGGCCTCAAACTTATGAAGCTCTTGAGTTAGCCTCCCTAGTGGCTGATGCTACAGGTATGTGTCACCAAGCCCAGTTTTATCCTATGAAAGCAAAGTTGGTTCAATATTCAAAAGTCAAACAGGTTATTAATAAACAAAAATATGATTGTCTCAGATGCAAAAAGAGCAATTTGACAAAATTCAGATGGCAATCTTAATACTATCTGAATTCAAGAGTTACTACAAAGCCTTAGTATTTATGACAGTGTGGTATTATTGTCAAGACAGACAATTAAATCAATGGAGAAAGAAGGAAGGAGAGACAGAGAGAGAGGTTCTCCCCAGAACAGACCTGTAGATATGTACACAATGTATTCTGGGGAAATTTATGAAGGAAATTCACCAGCAAAAGGATAGCCTAAAATTTTCAAACAATGCTGGTGGGAATATAAAATGGCACATGTACTCTGGAAAACATCAGCAGCTTCTTAGAAGTGTATATCTAGGTCTGGGAATTTAGCTCAGTGGCACTGTGCCTCCCTTGCAGGCTCAAGGTCCAGAGTTCAAGCCCTGGCACCAAAAAAAAAAAAAAAAAAAAAAAAAAAAAGTACATCTATATATAACCCACCCATATCCATTTTACTCAATTATTTACCAAAGAAAAATGACTGTATATGTCCATAAAAACACACACAAATGGTAACAGCAACTTGGAAACATCCAAAATGTCCATCTGTTAAACAAATAGTCATAAGTGCATACTCAGTAATTTCTTTAAAACAGAGTTTAACATACCCAACAGTAAGGATGAGCTGAGTGAAAGAAGTCACAAAGCGTGCCTGTACTCTCATTTGTATGACATTCTATAAAAATGTAAGTGAAATCTATAATGATAGCAGTTCAGTGCTTTTCTGGGGATAGAGGTAAAGGTAGGGAAGGGAGGAGGAACTTATACATGGGTATGAGGAAACTATGTTCATCACCTTGATGGTAGTGATGGTTTAAATAAAGTATACAAGGGCTGGGGATTTAGCTCAGTGGTTCTGGTGCCTGCCTCGCAAGCGCAAGGGCCCGAGTTTGATCCCCAGTACCAAATAGATAGATAGATAGATAGGAGTATACAGAAGTCACAGCTAATAAAATACTTTAAATATGTAACTGTATGTCAACTACATCTCAAAATGTAACCATATCATTATCATTACTGAACAAGTGATAGTACAATGTTTTCTGACACTGAAGTGTTTCTGTGACAGTGTTTTTAAAAGGCTTTAAAATAACATATGGTATTTTTTAATTTACAAAAGCAAATATATATCTGCACATCTGAGAAGTGGGTTTCAAGGGCTATTTCTTTTCTAATTTTTGTTACTTATGTTTGAATTTTCTTCTTGTTCTAAATTCAAAAGTATTAAATGGAACAGATAAATATAAAGGTAATGTCCTATCTCTCAATCAGCCAATTCTGTTCAAGTGAAACTTGCTTCAGTATGTTAAATTCCTTATAGTTCATATAAATAATTACAAACAAATATAAAGTTTATTTGAAATAGAAAAATGGGGTTATGCTATCCCAGTCATTTTGCAAAAATAATTTTCATGTAATTTATAAAGTAAATTCCTCCTGGCTGTAACATAGATCTACCTATGAGGTGCAAAACATTCCACAGTATGTATACATGATTTCTTTTCAAAGGTCTTATATTTTTCCTGCCACAAAACAACCACCATTATATACATCCTTACCTAATGTTACTTTTATTACCAAAATCGGTCCAAAAAGTGTTATTACTCTACCAGTTTTCATTTATGTCTTTTAATGGATATTGTCAGATTTAGTTTTCCCAAGGCTGAAATATTTTATATCCTATCAGGAATACATGAGTGTTGGAATTCTTCCATCCTCATAGGTATATGACATTGCATTTGCTAAGTTAACAGCTATAAAATGGTGGCTCTCCATTCATTATTGAGGTTGAGATCTTTGTCTACTAAAAAAAGTCACTTCTGTAAATTTCTCATTTTTAAACTTTACGCACTATACTTTTCTTTTCTTCCAACCTGAAGGTATTCTCTACAGGAAAATTACCGTTGTCCTTAACACTGGCCTTTAACTTCCTTCTTGCCAAGATAAGATTCTAAGTTTTATTATGGTTTCATAATTCGCTTTTCTTTATTGAATATGTGCTATCACTGAAAAATGCCACCAACAAAAGGGGGGGATGTGCATTTTAATCAAATCGAAATTACAGCAAGGACATGTCATTTTTTTCTTTTTGCTATATATATATGTATATATATACGTATATATAT